ATGAAGAGTAAGTTATTGTAAAATCACTACCAATTTGAAAAAACATACTTTCAGGGGCTCAAGTGATTTGATAGTAACCATGAAATAAGTATACATGTTTCAATATTCCCTAACGAATGTTTGGAGCAAGAACTGAATAGGGTCTGAGCTTTATAACACCGTAGTCTAATTCCACTGAGGAAGAAAAATAATTGATTTTTGAAACAGTTTGGATTGTTGAAAAAATATTTCATTAGACTGTATATTACTCAATTTCAGCTCACGTGATATAGGTAAATGATATTCATAGTTAGTTGAAGTGGCTATTATAAAAATGAACTTTATTCACCTGGACGCCCTACTTGGAGCATGTAATTATACACAAGACAGTATTTTAGAGAGTTAAAATGTAGATATATAATGTCTTGAACAAACAAATCAAAGAGGCAAATGTCCGAATATCTTCGAAGTCTAACATGAGTCATTAAAAATATATTTAACCACTAATGAACTTGATTCATGAGCTAAATAATCCATAAATTTATTTTAATATGAACTGCTACTTGATATACTAAATTCTACAATTTATCCAATCGGAAATAGTAAAGAAAAAAAATTAGATATTTCCAAAATTTTTCAAGATTTTGATTCATAAACGTTTAAGTTATTGGCGTTTGTGAGTATAAAAGGACAACAGAAGTCTAAAATGGAATCCCTTTAGTTCTACGCTTGCGGTTTGAATAAGTTTGTGTCCCTAGAAATTCCGTGAATTGAAATCAAGAAATATCAAACTAGTTGACAGGTTAATCAATATAATGAGTCATTTGATCGTAAACTAGTTATATACAATATTTGATTTTTGCATAAATTCCTATTGCCCTGAAACTAATTTTCAGTATTGCAGAATAGTTAAACACTATAATTTTCATATGTGGAAATCGACAGGAAATTTTGTTGAAAAAAAACATCTTGTTTTTCTATGGTCCTCCCATCGTATAAAAAAATTGTTTCATTGACTTATAAGTGTTTATTATCAATGATAAACATTTGAGATCACCCAAGGAATTATCTATAGAATTATATTGGTCTGAGATGAGACACTTATCAAGAGGTTACACTTTAAATGATTTCTTTCAATAAATATGACTTTATTATCATTTTTGTATGGAACAAATTTGATTTGAAAATTATCGAAATCTGACCAGTGTTTTGATTTGCAATTTACAAACATTCATTAAAAAACACAAATCAAATAAATACTAGTCATGCGAAACCAAGAAACAAAACTGGTTAATAGGTAGAATATTAAAAGAGAATTTGTGAACATTTTCCACCCATTACAAGATAACATATTTCTTTTTGTAATTATCATTCAATTGNAATATTCATATATGAGCATTTATTGAAATTGAGCCACAATTTATGTTCATCAAGCCAAATTGAAATTTGAATATGAAAATTGTAATTTGCAGTTATACTAGTCCAAATACGGATCCCTTTCACATATATTAGGGGATATGAGAGTCTAAAATAAACTATAGTTGAGTAATTATTTCCTACGCCGCTTTATATAAAAAGATAAGTCAGAAAACAATTTTTTGACATTTCCAAATTTCTTAGCGATTCCAACGTTTGTGACGTGTGAAATTCAAACGCATATCCGTTTTCGCAAATCACCCTGTACTGATCGATTTTTACGAAACTTAGTTATCATTATTATCAGTATCGCTATAGGAATGTGTGGGCAACCGTGGTTATAGGCAAGCGATATCAAACCTCAGTCTTCCGTGGAAAACTTTTGTTGAAATTGATAGTCTCAAAATATATTATCAATTCCGATAGTCTTATCACTTCCACACTAGGAAATTGAAGACATTACGGGAAATTCAATTATACTTTCATAGTCGTTGGGGTTTCATTCAACAATCAGCTGCGGTTTTATAGTCCAATCACATTAGGTAAAAACGCGAGTCTGTGTTTTGTCATGAAACTCATGCACATAAAACAATTACAGCAGTGGATAATAGTTGAACATTGTTAATATTGAAATAGCTAGCAGACACGGAATTATGAGTTTGATTTTACGACTCGTTGTAATAGTTAACGAATGTTTCAGCACGAATTGAATTCTCTATCGTATGGAATGTGCAGAATTTTGAAAGCACTACTGTTAAGATAGCTTTTCAAACTAGCGAACATTAAATATACGCTGAAAAAAACCTATATGACTTGTGATAAAGGTCAACCTGATAATTTAGCAAAAATGAAATACCAACTGTCATATGCATATGTAAATCTTTTGTGATATTTCGTTACTTTGGTGAAGTACTCGTAATGAAAAAATGCGTGTGGTAACATATCTTTATAAATGCATTTGTTCCACATAGTTCTATATTGTATTTTTTTTGCACAACGCGAATATGGTGCGTTCAGAATGCGATTTTTTATGACAAGTAAGTATGTACTCGTATCTTGCAAGTAGATACCCCAGATTTGAGCCTCATGGATTTTATATCAAAATGAATCAACATTTTCGCCTCCAGATTGGAATCCCTGAATTCTCAACGAATATGGATATAATATCCCAAATTCCAATTAATTTTCAGGGAAACAATAACACTTAAGGAAAGTTTCCTTTCGGGGAGTAAAAATAAAAACTTGGTTTTCTTCAACAATGAAGAATCCAAGTGAAATTTCAATGATATATAAATATACGAATGAAGATTGTTGTGTTAATTTTTTGGTGAAATAGAAGAGCGGTAATGTCATAAAATTTATCAATTATTTCTTGGAAATTCCAACTCTGTGAATCGAAATTTTGACTTTCAAGTTCAAACTTGCAGTTTGGAGTTTAAAATTTCGAGATTAGAGTAAAAATTTCCAAAATTGAGGCATAACTTTGAAATTAAAGTTCAAATTCGAGTTTGAAGAAGCAATTTTGAGATTGAAGTCATGCTTTCTAGATGAAAGTCTAAAATTCAAGTTTCAATCCGAAATTTCCAAGAAACAAATAATGAAAATATGTGGTTCTTCTGTTCAACAATGAAAAATTGAAGTGAAATTTTGATCATATACCAAAATACTCATAAGGATTGTTGTGTTGAATTTTTGGTGGAATTTACAGCAGTTTTGACTCCAGCTGAGCACCATAATTTTATAACAAGATTGTTCTGAAGTATTTCATTGGTTTTTTTCAGCAAAATTTGTGAACAAATAGAATAGCCGATTCCAGTGAAGTTTTGAAAAAGTAAAACTTTCATTTGAAGCTGAAAAGTTTGTGGAAAAATAGAATGAGAAAAAAGTTAATTCAACTACATCAAAGAACGACAAAATTTGAATACAATTACAGAAACGAAAGACGGAAACAAATATAACCCAATATCTGAGTGAATATCTGAGAAACAATGTTTTTAATCATTTAGTATTATTCAATGTACTAATTTTATAAAGGTTCAAATAACTGTAAGTCCCAATTTGAAAGCTGAAACAGACGCAGAGGGTGAGTTTTATGAAAACTGCCTTCCATAGGGGTCATTACACAAATTCCGCCCCGTGATGACTAACGACTTTATTACCTAATTATGGTAGTGCTGTTGCATAGATATTTCTCCGCAAGGTTTATTGTCCATACAGTTGTTACTGAATGTCAAAAAATTACACAAAATATACTTCAATACAATATATGAAAATGCCCATATCATAGCATATATAATGAAACAAGTGTTTCTCAACTAATAGATATAATTGAAATTTGACTATTCAACTGGTTTTTGCTCACAAAATCAATCAACATTGGACTCAGTTGTAATTTTAAAATTTTCAGGGAAATAAAAAAATATATATTTATGGAAGGGCAGAAAGAACACACATTTTTATTAATTATTCCAACTCTAAAAGTCGAAATTTCGACTTTATAGTTCGAACTCGTAATTTCGATTTCGAAATTTTGAGATAAGAGTCAAAATTTCCAAAATAAAGTCATAATTTTGAAATGGAAGTTCAAATTTCGAGTTTAAAAAAGACATTTTGAGATTCAAGTCGTCATTTCTAGATGATGGTCTGAAATTTAAGTTCAAATCCGAAATTTACGAAAAACAAATAATAAAAAATGTGCCCCTTTTGCGCTATGATTATATGTCAATTCACGTTCTAGCAATAATAATACTCATATTATTGGTGGTGTTTTTGAATCTCTATTACCTCTCTATATACTATAATATAGAGGAGATAGTAGATGAAACGTCAGGCATAAATAACCTGCGGACCTCGGCCAAAAAACCCGGAAAATAACTTTCACACAATACTCCTATTATTGAAAAACAAGAACTCTGCATAAAGACGAAATTATGAAAAACCGTCAGTAGAGCTATTTTTCGAATCACTACATTTCATAAAATGAAGTCTCCGCTGAGTCTTCTGTCTGTCTGTCTGTCTGAACGAGATGAATTCAAAAACACAGAACAGATTTTTATACTTATATAATTATTCTATAGAAAACTTTATGTGTATAATTCATCAATGTTTTGTGTAAATTGGTTGGAATACGACGAAATGAATTCTAGCGTCTACACGAATCGATGCGATACGCTTGATGAAGAAAGTTTGCAGTTGACTTGAGTTTATGCCACATTGTGAGTCATTTCGAAGGTCAAGATCGCATTTTTGTTGCCTTCAGGTAGATAGGTACTTATCGTATTTCGAAATTTGAATTGATAGTTGTGAACATACTTCTATATGAGGGGATTTTATATGGAGCCATGCGAACCGCTAGAACATCGATCTTTATGTAATTGTAGTTGAACCATCGTCAGCTGAAGTCGATAGAGCGAATTTTTTAGAAAAAGTATTGCTAGTAAAGATTGAAACTGATAGCTGGTCTACTTTTTCTTGAGATATTGATAACTGAAATGAAATTAATATACTTTTTCCAAAAAAAATCAGTGGCAAAGTCAAATTTCAATCATATCTATTATTTAGAAAAATATGGTGGGGGCGCTATTACAAATGAGAATTACACTTACCGAAAGCTGTTGTTTTGTAACACTGTGGTCTGTATAATACACTAAAGTTTCTCCAGCTAAAGGTCTCGATTCTCTCAACTTCGATGCTATCAACATACACGCCGTACCTAATAACTGTAATTGGTTCTTCATTATCGAACAACACATTAAAAATCTATCCATATAGTTCATTGCTAGCGAAAAAACTTCGTCCTGACACTTTTGCTCTTCACATACCTGGAAAGAAAAACGGTGTGTTATTAAGAAACAATTATTACGGAATTAAATAAAAGGATGGTTTTTCTCGTCGCAACGGTTTTGCCAGGAGCTATTAGTCTAGCACCGCTGAACGGAAGAATTTGCATAACGAGAATTCAAGGCTTTGAAGTCGGTAGATTGTCCTTTGTATTTTCAGAGACTTAAGGACAATTGTTTCGGCGAAGTCTTTGGTTTTTGAATAATATCAAAGGGTACGTTTGGAACTGTCGGTAACTTTTTAGAATTATGTAACGTCTTTTCAGTACATTGGACTTGCAGAAGATAATTGTCAATCTGATATGAATTCATTCCAGGAAGTAGAATGAAAAATGCAATAGTAGTTTATTCTTCAGAATGAAAGGTTTTCAGACATTAGTTCAGTAACTAAATAAAGTTATAGCCCACGAATAGTCAACCTCGCCCTAATCTGCATATTTCTTGGTAACATGCTCATGAAATAGGAATTTCGAATAATGCAGAAAGTGATTTAGTTTCATCAGCAGGGTCGCAATTGGCCTCATTATATTCTTCCGCTCTAACAGTGATTGAAAATCATTAGAATGACCTTCAAGATCATCGAATTCAACTCCCTTAGACTTGAAGAAACCAATATATAGAGAAAAACAGGCGAATTACTCGGTAAAGATTCCAGAAATTAGGGAGGATTTCGAAATTAGCTGAATTGGAGAAATTTTGAGTATTTCATTTAGAAAATTTGTTTCTTGTGAATCAAAAGAGTGGTTTTTGTGAAATAACCAAAATCCACCCATTTATATGTTACTTGATAATTTATTCTTCCAACTAAATATTTCCACTGAAGGAAGGTATAATATATTTTTCAAAAATAAAAATCCTGGCAAAAAATCAAGTTATGATATCATAATGAGAACTGATGAACCATCTATTCTCTTTCAATCATACACAACAGTTTGCCAAGAAAGAGGAAAATGAATGTTTTGAAAATTATACGTATTTCAAATGTACAGTTACGGAACCTGACCTTCTGAATTAATATCAAACCAATAAATTACACTCTAGTAGATTATTGTGGTATGATTTTGTGCCAGTTGTGCTCAAAATAACTTGTGTCCCGTAAATATGACTGTTTGTTGGTATTACTAAAGTATACTATTTTAAAACAAACTTTAGTTCAAAGTAGGGCACATTATTTTTCGGAATATTGCACAATCTTGCAATATTTGTTTTGGATTACTTTTGTGGAATGTCATCAGTGTGTAAAAAATAAATAGAAATAATGTACATATTATGAAGTGGGGAAGTGGGGGATTTTCTAATTTCTTCAATTTATAATTATTAAATGAATGTATGTAAAAGTCAAAAAAGAAAAAAGATTTTTTGATCGGGTTATACCGATTTAAAATTCAACTGATTTTGACAAAGAAAAAAAGACCTCAAAGTGGGGGCCTAGCTATCTGACATTATTTAAGGTTCATAAATGAAAAATTTATTGTAATAGTAAAGAAGAAAGTAATAAAATTTATGAAATTATGAAACAATAAAAATAATTGGCGCTCCGGGGCGACTTCATTGATTCCAATGGCGCATTCGCTTTTTCAGCTGCAGGAAAACCCGGAAAAACCTGCAGCACCACATCATCCAAAGATCTTGATCTGCCAATGTCCTCTCTGTAGGGTGTCTCCAGAGGCTCCAATAAAATCAAGATATTGCTAGAATATTTAGTGACACGACTATAGTCAAACTTAAACCAGTCCGTTCCGTCTTTGACCAATGCGTAATAATGACCAGATCCATAGTGAACAGTGTGATTGAAGATTATTATTGTTTAGTATACGACTGACGTCATCTTTGAATACTGAAAATATTAAAAACTGTCAGTTTTGGTGGATACGGAAACTTCTCACATTATACCAATGAGAAATTGAAGAGAAACAGTCTAAAATAGGACCCCTGTGGAAAACCTGACGTGGAAATGGATCAATCACACTGATTTGCATCATTAGTTGTAAAATGAGTGAAAATACAATTCATTTCAGAAAAACATTTTCTATGTAGAAAACTTTGGATAAAAGTTTGAACTGAATACTTCATAATTTCAAGTACAAAATTGGTATAAAATTCAATTTTAAAAAAATCCATTACAAAATACTCCAAGATTACTTCACTGGGGCAAAAAAAATTGAAGTAATGGATTAAAAATTCAAGGTTTTCTACCAGATGTGATAATATGTGACGGTGGTTTAGTTTTTCAATTCTTTTGTAATGTGTGTCTTCAGAATCACTAAATAAGTTTGTGTGTCGAAAAAACATCGATTATCAAAAACATTTTCTGTATCTAAGAAGTGCAGAGGATTGCTGCATCATATCTATTTCTGATTTCACATCATTGTCAAATCATAGAAGAAGAATACATACAACCAACTCAATTGGAGTGAGAGCCAGTAAGAAACAAAACCAGTTTTTTGAAATTGAACCAATTCATTCAATGTAGACGAAGATAGAGGAACTTGAACCAATCGTCTTGATGACAGCTCTGTTATATTTGAGTGGGGATGAATGAACCGTAACGAACCCGTTTTCAATTTGTCATACGTCGTATATCTCAAGTCATTTTCCACATAGTTAAGGAAATGTATCTTCAAAACATTTCAAATTTGCTGACATATAATGCTGATTAACATGACAAAAATGGCCTCAATGTGAGGACCCAGGATGGACGAAGACAGAAGCTTAACTGAATTGATCAAGATATCGAACACTGTCATATTATCTGCGGGTAATATGGGAGTCTCCCTCATTTCTCTATTTGGGAAAACATCTGACAAGATTACGTCACTCATCTGAAACAGAATCGAAACAAACGGTTTCGAAACATATTCAATGGCTGTTATTCTTTCTGTACTCCTGTTAACTCGCATTCTCGAATAGGCGCCATCAAATTGCAAGAAAATTTCAGAATCGGCAATTATCCGACCTTTGACTGTACTGATTATTCGGAGTAATCACTTCGAACGTGTCTGCAGTAGTTTCGAGAACAACCTTGTACAACTCGCTAACTAGATATGTTTAAATATCGCAGTAAAACCGATAAAGGCGCTTTAAATGTTTAAAACCCAGACATCAAATCGCTTGCCCACTCAGATGTAACACCTACAATTCGACGGAATTAGCATTTAAAAAATGGGAGGCCCTTTCCGGTAACAGTAGAAAACCGTGACGTCACCATTCAAGGACATTAAAAGGCCATCGCTCTAACAATATTATAATGCCGATTTGTTGCTAAGTGGTAAGTTAACAAAATCCACGAAAACCTCTTTTCTACAGCTGTGGCAGTATTGGCAGTCAGCTGTGCCAGGATGTTGACCTCTAGAAACATTTAAATGCCCGGCTCGAAAATTTTATCACACGTTGATGACGGGACATTTAAACGCTTTTTGGCAATCATCATTATTATTGAACGCGCTCGGGTAGCTACGTGTCACTTATTATGGCACCGGCATGGTTTTGCCGAATTACTTATACAAACAACATGCATAATGGGGGATTTAAATTTTAAATAATCTAGCGCGCATAAAATGTGGAGCGTTCAAACCGAGTTTCTAATAAAATCCAGGCTGCCGTCATTCCTTTTATAGCCCAGAAAAGTCACAGCGGCCTGGAAACATCTGGCTGTTGCAGGCAATGACCTATCTCAGATCTGTACCTTTCGGGGGTGTTTTGAATTCAACATTTCTATTTTTATAAAAACTTCCGTTCAGCTTTTCCTACCGGGTAAACGGGATTCTGGGGAATCTTACCTCCATCATCCACTCTGCCACTATCTTTCGCATTTCCACAGTGACTTCCTTTTGTTTGGAAAGTGTGGCCGAGTACGGCAAGACGTACCTATCCTCGGTCTTGAGCAGGACCCTGAGAACTCTATCTTGCAGCAGAGTGGGATCGTCGTACGCCGTATTCTCATTTTCAGCAATTTCGCAACAGTACAAGTCCATGTTCTCCCTGTCGAATAACCTGCAAAGCCTGGACCACACACACTTAACGCACTACTCAAACAAAAAAAATCACAAAGGCAATGTACTTGGATTCATCAATGTTACTTCCGGTGTGACTCTCGTGCTTTGGAGGTTAGTTGTGTAGTTGTTGTATGTACGAGAGCTGAGCGTGTACTCGACGATCGGTTAATGTCAGCCGTTCTCAGGACTAGATTTTGGTAGTGGAATCCCCCCCACTATGAACGCTTATGAAAGAGCTTTTGCCTCAACAAGTACAACCTGTTCCGAGGACTTTGCGGTGTTGCCGGATGCCACGCAGGAATTTCAGGCGGGTATGTGGCAGGGAAGTTTCCAAATCATCAGCTGGTTTTAGATATCTCCGATTGATCTGTCAATTGTGACGTGAATGGGTTGAAATTGGAGTGACTTTTGACAGAAATTGGATTCATAAGAGTTGATAATGCGATAAAGTTCAATTTTATTTATTATTTCAAGTCAATCGAACTAAATTATATTTGAGGAAGTACCTATAGTAAAGAGAAACTGTTTCTACACTTCACTTAGATAATATATTCCATTTTGGGTTACATTTGAGTGTTGAACAATCGACTCAACCATCTTTAAATACGAATAAATATTTACTGATCCTTAGTTAGGAATTGAAGAAATTTAAGAGATTCAATTATATGCTGTAAATGATTTTTTCCATGCAGATATATTTTCGGTTATGAAAGTTAGAAAAGTTGATGTTTGAACGATTGAAATCTGTTGAAAATTATTTCATGAGAGTGATCAGTTTCAAAAACGTACCTTGAAAACAATTTTCAATATGAACTATACAGACACTTGTCGTGGGTACCTTCAAAGGTAACAAAATGCTTACTGTACATGCTATATACAGTGTCATCCCCAAAGTATGCACCATATGGGAAACTTATTTCTTCAAAAAAATTGACCGTCGTTACTACCATAGTTGTGTAATTTGTAATATTGCAGGCTTATAAAATGAACCGTCGTATACAGGATTTATCGTTTTAGCTATTTTTTTGTAGTCCCCATTAAAAAAATGGGTAAAAAAATAAAACTTCACTTAGATAGCCATGACTTCAAATCTAGGACAAAACTGCAGTAGTGATTGTTACAAATAAAAGTGGTGAATAACGGATTTACACACACTTTGACCGATTGAACCTGATGCACGAGGGGTATAAAAATTAGTGAAATGAAACATTAGCTGATAAACTTCTATTTTGTATTATATTATGTATATAGTTTTTTTTTGTTTAGCATCGAATATCAATTGAACATAATGATTTGGAACTTATAAACATTATAAAATATGTCAAGAAGTCAGAAAGATCGATTGTTCAAATAGAGCACCCTATATATATAAGACAATACCAGAATAGTCCACACTATGAGCTTGCAGGAAATGTAGGATTTACTTTCTTGTAGGATTTAATGTCTGTCAGAAGTCAGAATTATATCTGATACTTGACGAAATTATCAAAAAAGTCAAACCTTATGATTTGTTCAATTCCCGACAAAATAGGCAATAAATAGGCCAAACAATTCCAAACTGCAGTTTTTCATAGAAGATTTTCATCTTTCATTTTTAGCAATGCACAAATTAAGTTCATTTATAATTTCTCCTAGCTATATATCGTCCACACCCATGCATTGATACACCTTGTACAGGGTGTATCAACGATATGTGGGTGGACGATTGCTGTTTGTCTATTAGAGATACAAGAAGTGTTCCGAGAAAAATTTGTAGAAACTAATGGGAGCTATATTCTGAATATAATTATTAATATACAGGGCCACCAATAAGTGTGTGGCAGACAAAACTATTAGTTTTTTGAATGGAATGCTATTGAATTCTTTGGACTGTGTGTTTCTCAAGAATGTGGGATTACATGGGTTTATGGCAAGTGGTACAGAAGTTACGGTGTAATGTCCAACATCCAATATCTCAAAATCTATCATTCGGAATAACACCATTTTTTATGAAAAATTTGCCAAGAATGGTACATTTTTTCTCTACATGTAATATTTCATTGAGTTACGTATGAAAAGTGTATGGTTGACTGAGTTGAATAAAAACACAATAGCAACTTCCACGTCTCCCTATGTACCGTAGAGTTTTTAGAGAGTTTCTTTCCATTTTCAGGTACCTATTCATGTTTTTTCCATTGCTCTGAGCGTTTTCTACAATGAACTTCGAATAAGAAAACCTTTTATGTTTATTTGGAACATATATACATCAAAAATATGTGTTTTAATGAGCAGAAAAAGAAATGATAGCAACAATTACATCCGAAACGAACTCTATAATTGTAATGAAAATCGAAATGGAGTAATTTATATATGTACCCAAAAAAAAATATTGTCGCAATAAATGTTCGAATTGGAGTACTTCCATTTCGA